TATACCCACTGGTGAGATGTCATAACCAGAGGCCAGGTTAGATAACACACTGGTACGCAGGTTACCCAGGGCTGCCCATGACATCAAGACAGGTCTGCAGGCAATAGCAGGTAGCCAGGGGCTTCTGATCCACATGCCTGAAAAAGGATGTCAGAGCAGGCACAGAGCCCAGGGCAGATGAAGCTGTCCAGACTGAGATCACGAGCTACCCTGGGCCTGGATATAACTTGTGAGCAGGGCTGCCTGGACCAGGAATAGGGGACTATCCTTAACTCCAGATTGCTGAGGCTTCCCCAAACCCTGGGCTTATATATCATCACCCACTCACTCAATTCCTGTCTATGAGGCCAGAGGGTGTGTGGCTTGTAGATGGGGATCAGGGAGGGAAGCACTGTAAGAGCTGCCATAGAGCCCAATCCCTGATGCCCCGGAGAGCCAGGAGGACCAGAAAGGGAAGGAGAGGGAGGATCTGCTTAGTAAAGGGGCCGAGCAGCAGGCTCCCACCTAGAACAATGTGCTACCCTGCCACCAGATAGACACTACAGGCATCATCACCATGAGCCAGAATTGGGAAGTAGAACTAGCACCAAGATCCCCCCAACCACCCCTCCTCCCAGCTCCCTGGAGGCACATGGGGGCTTTTAGGACAGAAAACAAAAGAGGCCCCAGGAAACAGGACAAGCAATCTGAGGCTACTGAAGGAAATAAGGGGGAAATACATGGCCACATTCCCCAAACTCTGGATGCTGGAGGGAGTCCCAAGAGGCCACCTCAGCCAGACAGAGATTGGGTTGGGAGCTGACAGAGGGCAAGGAAGGTTTGGGGGGCTGAACTCACCTCTGATGGGTCCAAGAGGAACTGCAAAGGTCTGAGGACTACTCTAGCCTAAAGAGGAGCATGTCAGGTCATGCTACCCAGGCTCCTCAGTGCCTGTGCCAGAGGGAAGTACTGTGCTCAGGGATGATTTGGTCATGGCCTGTCCTTCCTAATGGCAGCACAGATGCCTGAAGATAGACCTGCCTAGCCATCACTGCCTCATCTCCCATCACCCCCCAGGGCCCTGCACAAGGATGTCTGGCCAAGGTGCTCCAATCAGCTCACACATTTGCCCTCCTTTCATGTGGCCAGGCTGCAACTGAGCACATTCATCTAGAATTCCCCTGGAGGAGCTTGCTATCTCTGCTCATGATGTGCTTCCTCACCTGGATGGCTCCTACACAGTGCTTCTCCTGGCCAGCCCCTTCTCATTCCTCAAATCCCAGCCAAGAAATCCCTTCTAGACAGTTTGTGCACATTACTCCTTCCTCTGCTCTCCCATAGTATTGTGGCTATTCATAATTGTTCCCTAGATTCTGGGGGTCCGTGAAACAAGATCCTCATCTACTTTTTTCCTTGTTCTCTCCCCCAGGATCCAGCACCACAACTGTCCTGCAGGTGCTCCATAAAGACATATTAAATGAACTGGGTTGGGGATAGCTGATGACTAAAGCCACCTACCCCAGGAACATCTAACCAGTGTGTCATGGGCAGCCCAGAGCCTCAGCATGGGCTTCACACCTAAAGGTGTTAGAAAGCAGAGTTAATGCCTCATAAAGTTACCAAAAGAATGGAAAAGGAGACAACAGCAGAGGAGGGATAGCAATATGTTTTTGAATGGAAAACAAGTTTTAGTAACTGATCCAGTAGAGAGGAAGTAACCACCCCCTCAATGCCTGCAGAGTGCATGCTTAAGGAGACAGTCCATTGCCCTCAAAACACCAGCAAAACTCAGGACTTGGAGAGACCAGGTACCATAGGAAAAAAAGGCTAATCATAAGCTAAACACAGGGAATTGGTTAAAAGTCTATCCTCAAAGTAATAAGATCCCAAGACCTTCACCATACAGCAAGGTGACTCTTTAAAAAAAAAAAAAAGATTTTATTTATTTATTCATGAGAGACACAGAGAGGCAGAGACATAGGCAGAGGGAGAGGTAGGCTCCCTGCAGGGAGCCTGATGCAGGACTTGATCCCAGGACCCCAGGATCATACCTGAGCCAAAGGCAGGTGCTCAACCACTGAGCCACCCAGGTGCCCCACAAGATGACTCTTAACCACCATCACCTGTGTTCCCCAGATGCTGGAGGCTCATCAGCCTTCTGGAGAAACTGAATCCAAGTGATCCCAGACTTGGGAACATCCACACAGGATGTTTGGGAGGATGGGATTGGGTGAAATTCAAAGTAGGGAAATTAATTAAAGTCTGCAAAGCAACTATTGGGAATCCAGCCTCCTTCCCCTACTTGGCTTCCAGAATGCAGAGAGATGAGATGGTTACTGTATTTGCAAACAGGAAAAGAATTCTATTAAGAAGAATTTTAAAAAGAATCAAAGAGCTCTTAGAAATTAAAATTATAGTAGCTGAAGTTAAAATCTCAATCGATATGTTGAAAATAAACTCAAGGACATTTCCTGCAAAGCCACAGAGAAGGACAAAGTGATGGAAGAGAAAAAAATATAAGTGTCAATCTAGGATGTCAAATATTTGACAAATAGGAGTCCCAGAATAAGAGGAAATTATCAAAGAAACAGTATAAGAAAATTTGCCAGAATTGAGAGTAGGAGTCTTCAGATTGAAAGGAGTTGCCAGGGATCCCTGGGTGGCGCAGCGATTTAGCGCCTGCCTTTAGCCCAGGGCGCGATCCTGGAGACCCAGGATTGAATCCCACGTCAGGCTCCCGGTGCATGGGGCCTGCTTCTCCCTCTGCCTATGTCTCTGCCTCTCTCTCTGTGTGTGTGTGTGACTATCATAAATAAATAAAAATTTAAAAAAAAAATGAAAGGAGTTGCCAGGAACCCAAAATAATAAATTTTAAGAGAAGGCATTGTGGAATTTCAAAAATAAATATAATAGAAAACATACTAAACATTTCCAAAGAGGGAAAATGAGTTACTTACAAAGAATCAGAAATTAAATATATCAGATTTCCAATAGCTGACAATGAGAATACATTTTCCAATACTGAGAAGACAGTAAAACAAGGTCTTCAAAATTCTGAAAGAAAATGTCTGTAAGCCTAGGATTTTCTTCTCAGCCAAACTGTCAGTTAAGACTAAGTGTAGGGGCACTTGGGTAGCTCAGTTGGTTGGAATCTGGCTCTTGATTTCTGCCCAGGTCCTATCAGGGTCATGGGATCAAGCCCCACATTGGGCTCTGTGTTTGGCATGGAACCTGCTTAATATTCTCTCTTTACCCCAACCCACCCACCAACAAAAAGCCTTAAAAAAAAAAAAAAAAAGACAATGCAGAATTACAATTTTCAGACTTAAAAGAACTCAAAATTTTCTTCCCACAGGGACACCTGGGTGGCTCAGCTATTGAGCATTCGCCTTTGGCTCAGGGCATGATCCTGGGGTTCCAGGATCAAGTCCTGCATCAGGCTCCCCACAGGGAGGCTGCTTCTCCCTCTGCTATGTCTCTGTCTCTCTCTGTGTCTCTCATGAATAAACAAATAAATCTTAAAAAAAATTCCTTTACATTTACTTTTTTTTAGAAAGCTACTGAAAGAGGTATTCCACCAAAATGAAAGTGTACACCAACAGGAAGACCTAGAGCTGGAGGAGGGAAAATTTCAAGGGGGGAAAAAATGGAACTGAAGGACAGGGGTCTTCAGATTGAAAGGAGGCACTAAAAGTATCAAAATGCTGCTAGGATGTAGTAAGAGGTCAAGAAGGTATAAAGAAAACCATGCCAATGTGAAAAACTCAGGGAATCATTAATTCCAGGTAAAATATAAAATTAAACAAGAGAGAAAACAAAAAACAGTAAATCCTATTTATATCATTGTGAATACTGAATATCCACAAACCCTCAAATCCATGACAACTATTTTGGGAGAGTGATGAGGATGGGGAGAGACATGTGGTTTTTTATGGGGGTAAATAACAAGAGAGCTGAATCCAGCTGAATACAAAAGAACAAGTTGAAAAATAGGACTATAGGTAAGCATATTAGTTTGTCATAGATTCCTATCAGGAGAAATAACTAAAAGTATTTGTTTCTAGAGAAAAGGAATGGGAATTGAAGGGGGATGGGAGCAGCATACTATTTTTCCTTCTGGTATTTTAGTACTATTTGACTTTTTGAACTATGCACATATATTACTTTGTTTTGGAGGTTTTTTTTTTTTTTAAGCCTTTATTTATTTGAGAGAGACAGAGTGAGCAAGAGAGCACAGCAGGGGAAGTGACAGAGAGAGAGGGAGAAACCCACCGTGGGGCTCCATCCCAGGACCCTGAGATCATGACCTGAGCTGAAGGCAGATGCTAAACTGACTGAGCCACCAGGTGCCCCTGCATACATATTACTTTGAAATAAAAAGTGTGAAATTAATTTTTAAGATTTTGAAAAAGAAAAACTTTGACATGTTAACCGTGTGTCCCTATAATCATTAAAGTAGCCCTATAGTGCATCCCTCTACCTTTCCTCCAGCCCAAAAACAACCATTAACATATCACTTAGCTCTAGTTCAAAGTCCTAACTGATATTTTAAAAAAGAAAATCAGTGTCCTAGCCTAATCCCCACCATACTCCCTTGTCTTTCCCATCCTTATCCTGAACTTTTGAGTAGTGGTATGCTAGTAAATGTTTAAAAATTAGTTCTTTTGGGAAGAAAGTCCTGGTTTATAGCATTTGCCAATTTCCATGGTGTAAAATACTTCCACATGGCTGATTTCAAGCTACCACTCTGACATCACTGAATGTGAGTTGAGAATATATATACATATCAGCTCCAGGAAATTATGGCATTTGCGCCTCTCTTGCCTTATCAGCATCCATGCTTCCCATGAGGCTCAGGGTATGAGGGAGAGTTCAAAGTCTCCTCCAAAAAGCTGGAAGTCCACACGGCTATGTAGTAGCAGTAGAAGTGGATAATGAAGGAAAGAGAGTGGTTCTGGCTACAGGGAAGGGGATGTAGCTTTGCCACCTTCCTCCCCACCCCCTACCTCCAGCAGAATTACCTGTTCATTGGTGACACCTGGGTGCAGGGTCCCATGCTTATAGTCCTCCAGCAGCTGCACAGCTTCTCTGAGACGTCTCTACAGGAGAAAGAAAAAATACATTGAGGGGCACAGATCCAAGACTCCTGCAACTCTCTCCTTTGCAAACAATAAGGAAGGATACAATTTAAGTGTCCTTCCATGGGGAAATGGCTACATGACAGTGTTCTGATAATACCATGGAACATTATTAGGCAGTTTAAAAAGTGAAGTAGATCTGTATGTGATTCCATCTCCAACATATTTTTTTGAGTGAGAAAATGAATTGCAGAGCCGTACGATGCCATTCATTATACCAAACAAACAAAGCCCACACACACATAGAAAACAATATTTTCTATGAGAATATTTATATGTGTAAATCCACCAAAAAAGCTCTAGAAGGAGACCCACCAAACTAGTGACAGGAGTTACATTGGGGTAGGAGGAACAGCTCCAGATTTGACAAGGGGTGTCAGGAGGAAATTTAATCTTAATTGTAATATTGAAAGTTTTTATAAAGATAACATATTTATGTAATACTCATATAATTTCTTTTCAACATTTTTAAAACACTAGCAGAGATTTACATAGTAAAGTGCATATGGCTATAGTAACTGGTGTGGAAAGAGAGAGAAAAAAAAGGCTAGAATTGTATCATCTGTAAAATCTTTTTTTTTTTTTTTCCATGAGAGACACAGAGAAAGGCAGAGACACAGGCAGAGGGAGAAGCAGGCTCCATGCAGGGAGCCTGATTCAGGACTCGATCCTAGGACCCCAGGATCATGCCCTGGGCCAAAGGCAGGCGCTAAATCGCTGAGCCACCCAGGGATCCCCTCATCTGTAAAATCTTAAAAGCTAAAGAGACAGCAAGGCAATAGAAGGCAGCCTTTGTCCACCAAAATATTTGTATAAGAATTATTCATAGCTTCACTACTCAAAAAGCCCCAAATTGCAAACAATCCAAATGTTAATATTAGAATGCACAGGTAAATTATAGTATACGTACACAATGGAAATTACACAACAATTTAAAAAGCAAACTACAAATACAGTTTACAACATGGATGAATCTCTCAGACAGAATGTGGCAAAACATATTTTCCAGAGACGGACGCTCTAATATCTTCCATGCCCCATTCTCTTCTAGAACCTTCCCACACCCCCATCAAGAAGTAGAGTCCATGTGTCCTCCTGCTGATCCTGGGCAGAGTACAGCTGAAGTGAGGCTATGTGACCTCTGAGGCTGTGTCATAAAAATGCCCTGCACTTCCACCTTGTTCTCTTGGGATAGTCACTTGGAACTCAGCCATCATATTGTGAGGAAGGCCAAACTGCATATGAAGAGACTCACCTGGACAGGTTTGAGGCCCTGGCTCATGGCTACAACTGAGCAGCAACTCACCCACCGTGCAAGTGATCCATTTTGAAATGGACTTTCCAGTCCCCCATCAAACTGCCCTAGCAGATGCTACACAGAATAGCAATGGGCCAACCCTTCCAAGCCCTGCTCAAACTGAAGATCACTGAGCAAAGGAACGGAGTATTGTTTTAAGCCACTACAATTTGTTATACGGCAATGAAAGGCTGATACACATAATGAAGTCTGATGCCAAAGAGTATGTATAGATTTAAAAAACAGGCAAGCTAATCTAACTAACCTGGTGTAGGTCATGACAGTGTTACTTTTGTGAGGGGGCAGGGTGCTGATTTGGAAAATACATGAGGGAACCCTTCAAGGTAATGGAAATGTTCAATGTCTTCATCTGAGTGGTGGTTACGTGGGTATAAACAAAAGTCAGGGACACCTGGGTGGATCTGTGGTTGAAGGCCTGCCTTTGACTCAGGGTATGATCCCAATGTCCTGGGATCGAGTCCCGCATCAGGCTCACTGCATGGAGCCTGCTTCTCCCTCTGCCTGTGTCTCTGCCTCTCTCTGTGTGTGTCTCTCATAAATAAATAAATAAAATCTTAAAAAAAAAAACAAACCAGAAGTCAAAATGTATTAAGCCATTAACTTAGGATTTGTGCATTTTACCATATGCAGGCTATACCTCAAAAAATTAACAAGAAACAGAGAACAGTCATAGAAGCCAGCCTATGTCAAGGTTAGACAAGGGACTCAGACATCAGGGTTGTCCAGAATGGGCAAAGAAACCCAGTGAAGCTGCCGCGTCCCCATGATCTCTTCCTTTTTTTTGTTCCCCTTTTAGTAGAAGGACAAGGCTAGCTGAAGATGGAAATGCAAAGACCTCAACAGAAGCCCCTTGGTCTGACTGCAGGATGCAGCACCAGGAAGGGCATCCAGTGGGGCAGCCAGGGTGTTTGCTGAGCCAGCTGATGAACAGTCCGGTAGGATGGGAAATGAACAGCCACTTCCTGTACTGCAAGAGCAGGACTCACTGCCAGTCCAGACCAGCCAGCCAGACCAGCTGACCCATCAGGCCTGTCTGTGAAGTACCTGTGACCAACACTGGTCTAATCCAGGGCATCAAGGAGCAGGGAAACTTCTCACGTAGGAGCAGCCTGAGGGCTGGGAAGTACTGCCCCTCCCCTTTCAAATGTATGCATATCAACTCCAAAATTCCAGAGTCTCTCCCCAGAATCTCTTTCTAAATTGGAAATAGCTTGGTGGGATATTTGTGTGTGTTGTGGGGGGCGCGCAAGGGGGGTGATGTAAAGAGGGCACTTAACCCATGCCGTTTAGAGAAAATGTCGGAAAAAAATAGATAAGCACAAAAGGTAATTTTAAATCACTCATAAACACACCACTGAGTTAACTACCGCAAAAGTGAGGATGGTTTAAAAAGACTGAGGATGATTTTCCTTCCGGATTTAATGCATTTGTTTTTCAACAAAATGGGATCATGTTGATTGTTTGTTTTAACTTGGGTAAGGTCACATGGCTCAAAAGTGAAAAGTTTAGTGTTTGTACCCAGAATTTAGTCAGACTCTTGCTGGGTGCCCCCCACCCCTCTGCAAGCCTCCTGGGACGAGGCAAGCTCCCCACCCCAGGCCAGCTTCCTCCCACGCTGCAGCCTCTGCCACGGGACAATGAATGCTCTACTTTCCAGCGCTGAATGGTGAATGGCCGCATGTTCTCATTATTTTCCCACTCCAGGGATTCTCCCGAGTTCCTATAACAACCTGGCCAAACTCCATCTCATTTGACACAGTCATCAAAGGGAGGCCTCCTGCCACAAGAATGAGTTCCAAAGAGCTCTGATCTTGGCATGGGTTGAGGGAGAACTAAATCCAAAGTTCCTGAAGACAAGTCTGAGAAATTAGGACTGGAAGAAGCTAGAACGTGCTTTTCTGTTGCTCTGCCATCCCAATGCTCAGCCAGGCCCCTCTGTCAGAAGCTGAGGGGCTGGGGCTCAGGTCCCCTGTGGGGCAGCCAAAGCCCCAGGACACACTTGCTTTAAGAGCTCGCCCCAGCCTCACTGTTCTCAGGGCTGGGCTCTTCATGGCAGAGAATGGGGACATTACTGGGGAGCCCTGAGGAATGGGAGGAGGGTTTTCCCTGCTTTAAACCCTCCTCTCACCCCCATGCCTTGTGATGCTTGAAAGAGGAGCCCTGGGCACTTGAGGGCTGGGGAAAGCTGGAGGTCTGTGGCCGGGTGAACTTTGCAGGAAGTCTTTTCAACTAGGAACAAAGAGGCAGCCAGGCCCTGAATGCAAAGGCAGCTAGGAGCTAGGAGCCGATGAAAGGCTGCAGGCCCTTCTCTAGAGCCCTGGGCCAGGGGAAGGGTTGGCCCAGGTTGCTTCTCAGACTCCCTCATTGCTCACCTGCCAGAGTGTCACCTTGAGGTTGTCTACTTGTATTTGATAGGGGCATGGTCTCCAGAAGGTCCTTCTGGAAACACTGGCACCTGGAAGGTCTGCTCCAGGGCAGAGAATTTGAACAGAGGAGAAATCTGGATCCAAGGGTCCTGCCCCAAAGTCCTGAGAGGTAGGAGGAAGCAGAGGGGCAGGCATGGGGTGTTAGGGCGGTGGTCAGAGAGAGCAGGACACAAAAAGGAAAGCTGGGGAAAGAGTCATCAAAAACAAAACTAATCTTTTTTGTGGGGAGAGGGGCACCATAGCCCACCCTCAAACTAAATTCAGACCGTATGGAATCCCTGCTTGGCTAAGAGAGGATGTCAAAATGATATAAAAATGTATTATAATAATATTTAATACATTAAATACATGTTGGCAGTGATAGCACCTGACAGGATGAGTAGCACTCACCCCCACTTCCGGTAAAGGGACCATTCCCTGTCTGGGTGGTGCCTGCAGGTTCCCACCTCCTGACCTGGTTCATACTGTTCACTTTATCAGGACCCTCTTGCTCCCCAACAGTCTATGACCATCCCCATCTATCCTTCCAGGCTCAGTGCCATCTTCTCCATGAATCTTCCAGAAATGTTCTCCTTTGCCTCTGCATAGTCAGAGTGCATTTATTTGGTTTGCATCTCTCTGAGGTTCTCAACCACTTAAGCACCTGTGTGTCTCCGTTATCTGACAGAGATTGTGCAGTGCAGTGACGGGGGTGCTGGTTTCAGGTACATCTGCGGATCCACAGGACCCATTCACCCCTGTCCATTCTTATATGGGGCTATGCATAAGAGAGATTTAACAAAAATGAGTCATTGAGGCTGCTGGGGGAGAGGTGAAGGCTATGGTCAGGGTTAGGAATCCAGGTTCCAAAGCCACAGACCAAAGTAGCTCGATGGTGATGCTCGTTTGACAGAATCCCAGAATTACAAGAGACCATGCCCTATTCACATAGGATATGGATAAGAACATCCCTTTGTATGCATCTATCATAGAACCATCTAGGCCACCCCCTCTCTGAAATAATTGGGGCCAGAAAAAGGAAGGGCATTTCCATTCCCAGGGTCACAGAGGGGCAGGCAGAAGGCAACCTAGAAACCCCAAATCCCCTCAGTCCCAATTCTGGGCCATTTCCACAAAACATCAGCATGGAAGACCTTCTTGTTCTCGTAACAGTAATAGAAAGAAGGGTGGTCTCCCAGTGATTTCACAGCAATGCCTACATCCCCCAGAGCTAGGGG